GGTGGGGAGGGGAGGGCGCCGAGGCCCCGCCCTCCCGGAGCGGGCGCGGGGGCGCGCGGCGCGGCGGGCCCTGCCTGGGCTGCGGGCGAGGGGGCGTGTGCGGGCTCTCGGGCTGCTCCCGCGGCGCCTCTCGCGCGGCCAACGGCGCGCTTCCACTCGCGTTCCTGCGGGGCTTCGCGGCGCGCACGGGCGCGCAGCCCCCGCCACCTCCGGGCGCAGAGCGAGGCCCCCGCGAACGCTCCCGGCCTTCCGGGCGAGCCGTCTCCGGAGCCCGGCCCCGACGCTGCCGTCGGCCCGGGAGAGCCTCTCGGCGGCCCCTGCGGCCCGCATCCTGCTCCTGACGTCCTGCTACTGCCGAGGCCACCGGTTTGGCGGCTGGCGCTGGGGGACACGCGAGTCGCCTCCGTCCCCTTTGGCGCGCAGGTGTCGTGTGGGCACAGGCTTCCGTTTCGCTCCAGCAAATACGGGGGCGGGGGTGTTGCGAGGTCGGGGGGTGCTGCGAGGTCGGACAGAGGGACAGTTAACTCCGCAGCCGCTCCGGCCTCGGCCCCTCCCTGGGAATGGGGGGGTCGTCTGTCCAAGTGGCTCTACCATTAAAAGCAAATTGTGTTGTTTCCCTCTCATGACGCTTTGAGACTTCTTTATACTTCTGGGTATCAGTCAATTATCAAACATGCGACTGCAAAGATTTTTCTCCCAGCGTGTGCCTTGTCTTTTTGTTCTTTTAACAGTGTCTTTCAAAGAACAAAAATTCTTGATTTTAATGAGGTCCAATTTAACAATTTTTTTCTGTTATGGATTGCGCTTTTAGTGTGTGTCATATCTAAGAAATCTTTGCCTAACCCAAGGTCAGAGAGATTTTCTTCTATGCTTCCTTCTATAAGTCCTGCAGTATTAGGTTTTGCATTTAGATCAATGAGCCAGTTTCGAGTTAATTTTGTGTATGGGGCCAGGTGTGGATCAGGGCAGTGTTCTAGGTTTTGGTTTTGTGTGTTTGTTTGTTGGGATTTTTAGCACCTGGATATCCAATTGTTGCAGCACCATTTGTTGAAAAGAATCTTCCTGCTCGAATTGCATGGCAGGCTGTTAAACTGGGGAGGTGTGGCCAGACAGGACAGGACTCCGGCCAGGCAGAGAACAGGGAGGGGCCCGTGGGGGCTGCAGTGGGCCAGACCGGACACTGGGCGGACAGGGCCTGGCAGCGTGAGGATGGGAGAGGGGCCGGGGGACCTCCCAGCATCTGTGACCCTCAGGGCAGCTGGTAGCCAGGCTGGGAGGAGGGATCATTGTGTCCCCAGGTGACCCTGTCTCTCCCCTCAAAGCCAGGCACTGCCCCCAGTGAGGGTCTCAGAGCTCTGAGAAAGGGCTGAGCAGGACACAAGGGTGAGAGGCGGAGTGCCAAGTCCTGGACCTCGCCCAGCCTGGAGGGAGGCCCTGCCACGTCCCCCGGGGGCCTCCTCTAGAGGCCCAGAGTCCCCCAGTGTGAAGGGGTGGCCTGTCCTTCTCCTCCAGGAGGGCTGACACCAGAGCAGGGCAGGAGTGTCAGCCCAGCGGGAGGGTGCAGAAGCCCCCAGGTCCATCAGTCTGAGTCAGGCGAGGCTGTGG